GAGTAAATTCTTTATAAAGTCACTTTGCTACCGCAAATAAACGGTGCCAGTAAAGTTATCTTTTCGGCGGTAGTAAAGATCTTGGCTGTCCCCTATGAAGCCAAAATTTTTGGCTACGGCAGCAGAATAATTAACTATGACAATGAAAAAATTTTCTCAGTGCACAGCACTGAGAAAAGATTTTCGTAGATCAAGGATCAGAGTTTAAAAATCGCTTGTTTCAAGAATTTTGTCAACACTTTTATATAGATCTACACGACACGACTCCTGGTAATTCAACATCTAATAGTATAATACAACGATAACACTCTACTCTATTAGAAAAATTGAAAACCGAAAAAGTGAAAAATCCAGAAGAATCTCCCCAGAATTTGATGATTTCGGCTGTATTAGTATACAATCAAAGCATCCATTCCACAACAGGCTTTTCACCTTTCTCTATATTATACGGACTCTATTTTAACGAACCAAACATAAATAATAATGATTTGACTATATACGAACAATACAACGAAAAACGAAAAAATGTACTAATGCCGTTTCATAAAAAGGTTTTTGAAGAAACACACAAAACCGAATCCAAAAACACCCAAAAACAAAATAGAAATAATAGTCCCACTCCCGAATTAACAGAAGGATAAACTATTTATAGGAAAAACCCTTATAGAAATAAAATGAACCCTTTTTTTATACCCACCAAAGTAAAGACTCTTAATAAAAATACTTTTACTGGAATTTTTAAGAAAAAGCAAGTAACAGGTAATTTTAGAAAAATTAAGAGAATAAGGAAAAATCCTTTATTTTTTCAGCCTAAACCAAACCCCCAGGATCAACCCTCTACAAGTAGATCCTCTACCGAATAATAGATACTATGCTGAAAAAATAGCACCCACGATGGTTTTAAACCATTATCATCATACATATATTTTAACCTTACTAGTATTAAGTCTTCTTTAGCTGAGTTAACTTCTAATCTATAAATATTGATACATTTTACAAATAAGTACAATAATACGATAAAATCGCTTTTTATGCAAGCACATAAAGAATTAAATTATACTTATGATTCCTATAGGAAACTTTCATTTCATTTGACCCCTAATTACCTCGCAAAAAGCGTGGATTGATAAATTTCCTTGGAAGCTCTATAAAGTTCATTACAGGTAATTTAGACGATGCTGATCTAGAGAATATAAACCAACACATGCAAATTTTGAAGAATAATCAAATTAACTCTATGCACAAGATCAACGAACTAAGTTCATTCGCCGGGTACATAACCGCTCGATTCCAAAAAAATGTAAACATTATAAATGAGAATTCAAGAAAACTTAAAGCCAATATAGATGTTTTAAACGACACAATAATGCTTCTAGTAGAAATTCAAAATCAGCTTTTACAAATAAAAAATCTACACTCTTACTTAGAAAAACTATTGCACTTAAACCTTTGCTCATTTAGAAAGCCTAGATCTTGAAATTTTAAATACACAAGAAATAAAGGAAATTTGGAATTATTTAGAAGTCCGATATCCAAAATAGTTATTTATGTATCAAGGGTACTAAGTAGATGATTATGCCCTGAGGGCGACAGTCTTACAAAGCCGAGGGCCTCTGGCCCGAGGGTTCGTAAGTCGCCCGAGGGTATATATATCTATTAGTACCCGTGGTGCATACAAACTTTTATGTTATACCAGTTGGTTGTGAATAATAAATACCTGGGAAAAAAATGTCACTTCGCAAATTGTCATCGGTGTGCAAACATCATCATTTTTTGACAAAAATAATATGTTTATAAGCGTAAATTTATATTTTGTTAATAAAGAATAAGTTAATTGAAAACTGTTTTTGCGTCTTTATGCCCGCGCGGGCCATAATGTGTACTTTATGCCCGCACGGGCATAAAGTAATGAATAAAGTAGATGGTATCTAAGGTATAAAAACATAATAATGGATTGGTATGACATAAAACCTATTATGGCCCATAAAGCACATAATAGAACTTACTTTAATTTGCAAAACTGGGTTAATTTTATCTGATGACATGGCAATTCTAGTAATTAAATTCCCCCTTTTTGAAATGAAACCATGTAATTTAGATATTATATATCCCTTAGACAAGGAAAGAGAGGGGACTCGTATCACAGCAGGTGTAAATGAAGCAGTTTGCCACCAAAAAATGTCTGCTTTTTTCATAACATAACCCAGAAAGCATATTGTTTTTTGCCTGTTAAATGTAATCCCGTCGACTTTTTTTTCTCTGCGGGTTTTGGAGCCATATGCTAGCAATCCACCATGCTGAATACCACAAAAATGTTAGTCTGAAGTAAAATTCACATAGTGACACCATGAAAAATTGTCGCCATTATTTGATGTCAAACGGTCACAACCAGCTGCTAGTGCAGGTAAAGGATGTTACGCGTCCTCTCTCTTTCCTTGTCTAAGATATATCCCATTCCTACATTTAACAGTACGATTTTAATTAGTCCTAGCAAATACTATTGTAATAACTTATGGTATACAAAGAGTTCAGAAATTAATACAAAATGGATATGCGCTGATCCTATAGTTAATGGCTGTAACTTATCAACAGATTGTACTTTTGCAAAAATAAGTAATAATTATAAAGTTCACACATTAACCTATCATAGGGCTCTTTTATTTTGTACGAAAACTTCTGAGAGTGTTTTTGAAAATTGTTTTCAATTTATTAAACATAATTTGACAGGGTGTTCTTATATTCAGAGCCAATGTGATGTAATTATTGGTCAGTATAAATACGCTATACAATCAAATGATATTAGGATTAAAAATCCTGTAATCCAAAGTACTGTATTAAATTCAAACCTATCTCTGAACTTACAACTTAAGCACCTAATGTATCCTGAAAAAATCACAGAAGACCTTAGGGAACCCGTAGTATTTAAGGACTTTGTTTCAGCAAAAACTCATGCAACTAGTACTATTGTATTATTTCTTATATCTGTACTAGTTCTTATACTAGTGTATTTATGGCAAACGAAGCATAAGTCGATCCCCCTGAAAACTCTACAGGACATCATCAACGAGGACTTTGAAGAATCTCAAGGGAGGAAGAGTTATAAACATGAATCAATACGTAAACCGTCAATACCAGGAATATATAGCACGGCTCAGCATAATCATAGAATAAGCATATTTTGTATTTTATTATTTCATGGGAGCTTTTTATATAGAATAGTTTTAGTCTTAGTCACACACTGTACCAGTAAGTTAAGTCTTTGAAATAAATCTTTTTTTTCAAAGCATTCCACTGGTTTGAGTATTTAACTCGCGATCTTAATAGCCCTCTCCGAATTCGTGTGTGCTTCGCTGTTATGTGTTTAGCATTTTATATTACGGTGTGGAGGCGTGGACATTAACTGATGCCATGAGCAAAAAATTGGAAGCATTTGAGTGTGGTACTATCGTAGATTGCTCAGAATATCTTGGATGGACAGAGTACGTAACGCGGATGTTCTTCTTAGAATAGATAAGGAGCTTGAAGTTTTATTCATCATCAAAAAACGTAAACTTGAATATTTTGGACACATTTTAGGAAATGACAAATATGAACTCCTTCAACTGATAATAGAGGGAAAAATTGAAGGAAAAAGAGGTCCAGGCCGTAGACGAATGTCATGGCTTAAAAATCTTAGACCATGGTATGGTGTTAGCACAACTACACTTTTCAGAAAAGCAGTAGACAAGGTGCAAATTGCGCTGATGATAGCTAACGTTCGAACAGAACATAGTACATGAAAAAAAAGTTATATTATATTATTTAACCTTAGCCTAATGCCTAGGGAGTCACACATTTTGGGTCGGAGAGAATTACACAATTCGTTACTTGTTTGGCAGCCGACGGCAAACTGATGATTATCTGATTTACAAAACCAGTGCATCTCCAAGATGGCTTCCGTACAATCAAAAAAATATTCTTGTCACGTAACACAGATATTTTTATAGTGTGCAAAAAACTCCTGGTGTTTGACATCCAATTTCTTCACTGACGAGTTTCTGACATAATTACACAGCCTCCTCGAGAGAATTGGCATCTGATAAGTCATATAAACATAGCAATGATTTCTGACCTCTGTATCTGAGGATACATTTCACAAATATTAAATGGAAAGGCAAACTGATGTTGCCCAAATCGCAAAACAATTAGACTGAAGGACGTCCTGAACTAAATTTCTAATTATTTTGGATTAAATTCCATCAAAGCACAACTTTTATTTGAGATTTGACGTGCCCTAATAACTTTTTTCAACTAAAAACCTTTCAAAACAACTCAGAACTTCCATAAGTATAGTAAATACCCAAAAAAAGATGTCACTGGCCGCAACTTTCCATAGGAAATTCAGTCTCTAATTTTATGTTATTGATAAACAACTTGTCGCGACATTTTCAAAAACTCGTGTTCAGCATCGGTGAATTAAATTTTATGTCAATCGAAAGCACGGTGTTGAGAAATTTAACGTGAAATTTTAAAGCATTTGACAGTGTCCGAGGGATATTCAGTCAGAAATTTTTTTCAACACCAACATACGAACATTGGTGTCATATTGATTGAAAACTACCCTAGGGAAGTTATCAGTGTAATGTTGACATGACTGGGTGATTTGTATCACACGACACAAAGTAGGCAAATTTTTCAAAAAGACTTCATAAATAACAAAATTTATGACTCAATTTTTTATTTTACGCCGATGTCAACTAGCTAAGTAGGTAATGCTTACATCTTGTTCTTGATATTTTTGTAGCCCTGAGGATAACACAAAGTCTCTCGAAACGTCGGCGGTGATCTATAAGTATAACTGAATAAATACAGCCCACAAAAGCTTCTTTTCAAATTATATTATTAATCCTAAGAATTTCTAAGTTTACCTATGTCCATGACGTCCCGCCACACTAGTTGATTGTCTTCGCAATTTATTCCTCCTACCACGCCTCACAGGACTCATGTCCCTTTCCCCGGACCTATCAGAGCTCAGATGTGACTTGGAATCCCTGCGACCTCTTGAAGCCGAATCGGGGCTTAAGGAATCCCTTCTGGCCTTCCGGCCGTTATCATCTACATCGGGACTGAGTGCAGTAGGTTGCGAGCCTCTTCTATTCATACCGGGCGGTAGACTTTCATCGAATGCGGTATTTTGTCTTTGAAGCCGCAAGCTTCGCCGTTCTGGACTGGCGTGCGTTCTAGAGTCTCTGCGACCTATTCTACCGCACTGGGTTGTAGAGTCGCGACGCGTAGACAGAAATGGATGAGTTGGAGTGGTAGCCGTGGTGCTGGGTACTGTCGGAGATGTAGCTGGAGGAGTGACGCTTGATGTTATTATAGTGGGACATGGAAGACCGATTAGGTTTGATTGGGATGCTGAGTCGGATGATGTTCCTGTAGCTACATTGGCACTACTAAAAAGAAAAGAATATTGATTTTTTTAAATGTTCACTCAAGTTGAATAAATATAGGCTCCGAATGAGACACGCGTAATCGACAATGTGGCAGCAATAATTATAAAGTAAATTTGGATTTAAAAATAGACATAAAAAAAGTACCAGGATTTGATCCGATTACCAGATAGGCTTTATGAGAAAAACCATTTATAGATGTAACACAAATAATCAATGCCGTGATCAAAGTCGGATTCTTTCCAACTGAATGTGAGATTTTCCAAATCACAATAAACTAATAGATCAAGTTCAAAGCTACTTTAATCAGACTCAGTGGACATGGAATGAGCCTAGGCCTCGGATAGTGTCCAGGAACGACTGGCTGTCCTCGAAGAAAGTAATCAACTATGAGAAAGTCAAATGGACTATAAACACCTTTGACCGGTACAAGTTCAAAAGGACAAATAGGATCTATCCAATGACCATCTATCCCATAATTTTACAGAACGATAGGTACTGAACTAGCACACAGGATACTCTACAACATTCTTAAGAGTAGCCCAGCCTTTGGCCCTATACCAAAGACTTGGAGACACATTAGGTTACCTACCGTTCATACCAAATCCTGGAAAAATAGAACAGGACACGGTAAAGTCCGTAAGACCCATTAGTCTTAAGTCATTTGAGCTCAAGACAATGGAAAAACTTGTGAATTTGTGAATAAGCACATTAGGGACGGTGTGTTGGCAAGCCAACCACTACACCCAGACCAGTATGCATATCGGACACCAAAACCGGAGACCAAAAAGCAGGAGCGAACCTGGTACACGAACGGGTCGAAGGATGCGGTTGGTACCGGGTTATACTCCGCAAGCTACAGCAATCACTATGCACTGGGGGAGCGTGCCTCTGTTTTTCACGCAGAGGTTTATGCTATATTCTAGTGCGTAGCAGAGAATAACAGGAGAGGCGTAGCCAACGGCAGATCCTTAAAATGTCCGACAGTCAAGCGGCACTGAAGGCCCTTTCGAGGCAGACAGTGTCATCGTAAAAAACATCGACACTACGGGACAACTTCCAGGCAGAATCATGGTAGGGAGTTCATCGACAAACCATGCAGAAAAAGGGCCCTAGAACTGCTACAAATGAGTAGGAGTCGACTAAGGACTATAACGGGCCTTAGGACTGGCCACACACCGATAGAGCACCACCTGAACAGGATGAACCTGCATGACGGAGACCTGAACTGCAGACTCTGCAATAAGGAACCCGACACAGCCAGACACACCCTGGTAAACTGCGAGGCACTGGATCGCAGAAGACAAAGCATTTTCGGACAACCAAACGTAGTCCCGAGAACATAAATGAAACACCACCCAGTAGCCCACAAACAGGCTAACATGGTTGGTATTTGTGCTGACGATGCTGCTGTTCTTACTGTGCTTCCACATAAATATGATAATCTTCGAATAAAAACTGATAACATAAGCTAAGATCTTGGCAAATAAAACCGAAGTGAGTAAGACCACATCATATTCACAAATAGAGAAGAAATGTGTCGACCATTCTCACTTTTCACTCGTGCGTGTCCAAGGTAGATAAAACTAAGATACAGATGGTGCAAAGTTATTAATATCTGGGCTATGAGGTGAGGAAACTACATAGCGGATTTCTCCAGAACAAACGAAAATTGAATTGGCACACCTCCAAAAAAAATATGATTCAACCTCATTGCAAAGAAAATCTTTCTATATGCGTGACGAGACTCCCCACTTGAGATGCAGAATCATAAACCTTCTAATCAGCATACAAACTGAAAAGACAAATGTGGATAATATTCTGGAAAGATCAGAAAAGGATTAAACGATGACAAGTCGAGTAGAAAAATTCTCGGATGGCGACGAACAGCAGAGATCTAGCTAAGGTCGACCTCCAACCAAATGGACCGACGACGTGAGACGAGTTAGCACGAAATGGATCAGAGGAAGAAATGGCGCCTTGCGAAAGAATACGTCCAAGACTGGGGAAATTGGGAATGAATGATGATGATCCCTATTTAAGAGTTTGTTGAAATTACCCAAATGCGTTGAACTGTCATTAAAATGATGTGAGTATTTCACGCTTAATATATTTCTCTTCTTAAATACTATTGGAATTTATAGGTATTTACCTGATTTGTAATAATCCAGCGGAAGTTCCCGAATCGGAAGCAGTTGAAGAAGTAGAAGGTCTTTGCTCTTGCCTATAGTAAGTTGGAGCTTCGACTTTGCCACGTGAATCTCTACGTTTCTTGGTGGCACCGACGATTTTTGGTGGTGGAGGTAGCGGTGGAATGATTGTCGTTGATTCTCTGCGGCCTAATAATTGATAAAATATTGATTAGAGAAATTCGTAATAATACCGGATAGGTGTACAGGTATTTTTATTTATAAATGTAATACCATCGATTTTTGTAATTTGGCGTCTTTTTTGTTTGGACTTCTATCTATACAGGATGTTCCGAAACTATTGTGCCAAAAATTAAGGGCTGATAGATCTCGCCAAAATAAACGTTTTTTACTGATAAACTCATAGGCGCATGCGCTTTGGTTAGGTGATAATAGCACATTACAGGCCGCGCTGTGGTAGCCATCTTGCTCACGGAAGCACATGTTTGAAGCAAAAACCCAAGAATTGTTTGCAGTTTTTATTAAAAACAATTATTCAAATGATCAGTACGAAAATCGCCAGGTCATAAAATTGACAGCAGACTCTTGAGTATTGAAAATACGAAACTTGGAAGCGCTATATAGTATTACTTTTTAGCGTATTGTAATTTGTTGTAAGTAAATATTTTCTCAATAGCTTCAGTTATTTATTTATACGTGTTTCTTGACCAATGGGTCTCTCCCACTCAACTTGTTCGCGCATAGCTTAATGCGCGTCCAAAGTCCAAACTAATTTTATTCGTATACTTGATTTTAAATTTTGGTGCCATACAATTTCAAGTTTTATATGGCACGAGATGATTCGATGCGCTTCCCAGAAATCAGCGCGCCAACTAGATCAAGACAGACATACGAACTTGTCAGTTGAGTTTTCAGAACCCTAAAATCGATCCTTTGAAATTCAGTTAAAAATTCCGTTAGAAAATCAACCTCATAGTTCTAGAAAATATTTTAAACCTATTTTATGTGAATGTGTTCGTCGAAGAATCGGTAGACCTGGAGGAAAAGGAAACATCGTTGGAAGAACACAAGTAAGTGCCTCCATTTTGTTTTTGTATGGCTCGGGTTCAAATATCAGCGTTTTTATTTTTCGGCAAAAATTTAGATGATTCAACGCGTTCACAGTCCCGCGGCTCTAATTATCGAAGATAAATCGAAATTCAACATCAAACGAACATTATTTTGGTCCATCTCCCGAATTTTTACATTTGAAAAAATTAAATTTTTTGGTCGTAAAATATTAAAAATTCCAATCCAAAATTCCCGCCATTTTAGCCATCTTTATTCTTTTTCGTTCTTTCCTGCTAGTCACAAATTGTCACACGGATAGGGTTCCACGTGACCCCCCATACTCATTGCTAGAGTTTAGTGAGCAAGTCAACCTCCTGGTTCCGGTTTTTATGTTTACATTTGAAGATTAAAATTGGGTACTCGCGTCGCGATTTAACAACCTTTCGGGTTTAAAGAGAATCTTTAATAAATTGTAAAACTGGAATGTGCAAATTCAACCCTTTTTTTTCATAAATCACTACTGAAATAATAAATTTTCATTGCTTGGATATTATTGTTATAAATAACAGAAATCAATGTTGTGTTTTTCGGCAGTTTACTGGGCAATTGCATTATTTGTTCGACTTATTCATAGTAACCAGGTAGGCTCTTCTATTTTTAGCTCGCTTTGCGACAAAGCCGATAAGGTGCAAAAAAAAACCAAGCAAATTCATTAACTAATTTTGGAGTTTTATTTAAATTTCAAATAAGATGGCAAGCAAACTAATTAAACAAAGAAAGGTACCAATTGCTCGTATTGTTGATGTTTATAATTTATCTGTCAAAGCCAGAAAAGACACAGTTTCGAAGTCTCTTTTTAAGGTAGCTTATGAAAATTTAGATGATAGTTATGAGGAGTTCAAACGCTTACATAACGAGATTATCGGCCTCACTGAAGAGGCAGATTTCGATGGAGAGGATACAATTCGAAAAGACACAGATTCTTTTTACCAATTCACCAAAGCGGCATATTATGATACATATTGTCACGATATCGTCCGCCAGGCTGTCAAGAATCGATGGTGTAAATACTAGAATCTAGCGAATTATTCTACTTTTATCTGGAAAATTAGATTATCGTGTGTATTCTAGATTTTACAGGAATAGAATTAGGGACATATAAGAAGGCCGGCATTGATTTGTAAGTTAAGTTTCAGTTCGACTGTGATACGATTTAAATAGTGATTGTAAATAGTTTGATTGTTGAGTTTGTTAATAAAGTAATTAGTGTCAGAGTGTTTTGTTAAGTGGAATAAATTATTGCTGTGTTAATTGGACTTTGATTTTTGGAATAAACGAAACGAACAACGAACCCAAGATTTTTGTCAGCAGGCAACTCAAAGCCGCGACAGTGGTGTCAGGAGTGGGATATAAAGGACTGCAGAGTGAAATCCAATTACGGAAGTGCGGGGACACTAGTGTAGTATAAAAACTGAACACTAAGTGAACACTGGGACAGTTAGTGCAGTGCAAATAGTGACAATCACAAAAAGAGACTCAACCGATCGTGTGAATTACCCCGGAAGTGACTCTATACCCGATTTAGACTGTGATAGTGAATCTTGGAGTAAGTTCTAGAAAATTCTATTTGGAAACTAAGGGAGATATCGAATTTGTTACTTCGCCGACGTATTCGGAACATCAATCGTCATTCAGAAGAGGTTTTTCGAGGAGTTTCGAGAAAATTCTAGAGCATTCTATTTGGAAACCAAGGGAGATATCGAAATTGTGACTTCACCGACGTGTTTGCTGTATCAATCGACATCTAGAAAAGAAGTTTCAAGAAAATTCCAGAACATTCTATTCTAGAATAAAGCAAGTTATCCAATTTGTGACTTCACCGGCGTGTTTGGAACTTCGAGCAAAGACCAGAAAAGATATTTGAAGAAAGTTCGAGGGAAATTCTAGAACATTCTGTATATGCCTATCACAAGACAACAAGCCAAAATGGACGAACAAAAAGTTGAAGAACTCCTGCGCAAAATGTTGGAACTTCAAGAGACCAAACGACAACAAGAAAAACAAGACGAAGAAGCCAGACGACAACAAGAAAAACAAGACGAAGAAGCCAGACGACAACAAGAAAAACAAGACGAAGAAGCCAGACGACAACAACAAAAACAGGATGAAGAAGCCAGGCGACAAAAAGAACGGCAAGAAGACCTTGAACAACTACAGAAAATATTTCAAAACATACACGGATTTGTCGCCAACTTAGAACAAAAGATTACGGAAGTAAAAGCCGAAGTTAAAGACGATGTTCGAGAAGTTAAAGACGCTGTTCGAGAAGTTAAAAACGACGTTCAGGAAGTAAAAGCTGTAGTCAAAGCCGATGTTCAAGAAGTTAAAGACAATGTTCAAGAAGTTAAAGACGATGTTCAGCAATTAGGACAAGAAGTGGAGGACCAAGTTCAAGCACTCGAAGATAAGGTGCGTAAATTAGAAATACAGTCCATCAATCCAGTTAGTGTTGGAGCATTTTCCAGTATGAAGATAAAACCACCAACTTTTGACGGTTCTACATCCTGGACCATGTATATTCGACAATTTGAAGCTGCTGCAAACACCAATGGATGGAACGACCAAGAAAAAGCTACAGCACTAATTGTGGCGCTACGAGGACCTGCCTTAGACCTTCTTCAGTCCATTCCTTTAGTACACCAACAGAATTACCAGCATCTAAGTCAAACTTTAGAACTGCGCTTCGGAGACCATTACAGACAAGAAGTATTCAGAACTCAAGTCAAATCAAGAGTTCAAAAACCCGGCGAGAGTCTACAAGAATTCGAATCGGAAGTTAAAAGGCTAGTGAGTTTGGCGTTTCCTGCAGCTGGGGAAGACATGCAGGAATGGATGGCAGTATCTGCGTTTATTGATGGTCTCAGAGATTCGAAGATCCAGGAAAACCTAAGAATGTCCAAGTTCAGACAAAGTAGCGAAGCCCTTGTCCGAGCATTAGAACTGGAAGCAATCTTTGGTGCCTCACGACCCAGAATACGAGCAGTGTCCATTGAAGACCCAAAAGATAAACAGTTGTCAAAAGAGGATGGTAGCTTCGAAACTAAAATGAGTAATTTCATGGAGAGAATGGAGAAACTGTTACTAGAAGATAGAAAAATGGGAAACGATTCCAGACAAACACCAACCCCGAGAAACCGAATAGAGTGCTACCGGTGCCATAAACTTGGGCAAATTCAACGAGATTGTAGAGTGAGGATGTCCTCTCCATCAAGGGATCGTTTCCAACGCTTTTCGAGATCGAGAGACGCCAGCCCTAATAACAGACAGGGAAACGAGAACTAACCAGTATGGAGGGGCGAATGCTGGTTAGTAATGACGAAGCCCCCAGGGTTGTTTACATAAAATCATTGGGCAGTCATTATAGAGGATTAAAATTCGAAGGACAAATTAATGGAGAATTGAAAACCATTACTTTTGATACGGGTGTTGAAGTTTCCATAATTAAAAGAACATTAGTCAAGTCTCGGGCAATCCAACCGCTCACTAGAAACCTGTCACTACGAACAGTCACCGGCGAATCTGCAGCAGTTCAAGGAGAAGCTATGGTTGAGCTCACTTTTGGATCTACCACCTTCAGGCACAAAACATTAGTCGCCGATATAGAAGATGCTTTTATTTTGGGAATGGATTTGATCGGCCAACATGGTTTCTCTTTTGATCCTTCCATGAATATCCTTAAATTTGGTAATGAAGAAATTGTCCTAACAACACAAGAAGAATCCGATGTCGTTAAGATCCTGGCCACAACCCCAGTGAGGATTCCTGGAAGTACTGAGAAGATCATTTGCGGAAAATTAGAAACAAACCCTGGGTGTTGCGTTGGGCTAACACGTAATTTCATTGGAGATAAACCAGAAAGATTTCTTGTTGGAAAGACCCTAGTAAGAACAAATGGAGACATTATGATAAGAATTGCCAATGTTTCTTCCGAAACAGTAAGAATAAAAGAAGGAGACATTATTGGAGCTCTCGAACCAGTGAAGCAAATATCGAACTGTGACCTACCAGATAAGCGACATTTTGTGAAATCCAAATTGGATACAGACACCTTGATGCAGACTTTGGCGAAATCATGGAAA